TGATCCAAAATATAAAAAAAAGCTGCAAAACTTTAAAAAAAAACTATTTTCCTCCTCATTGAAGTGTTGCGTTTCAAATTTGTACAAAACATTTGGAAGCTAAAAAGAATTTGTCTGATATTAATTTTAGATAAATCCACAAAATAGTTTTTCTCTACATAGCGCGTAAAAAAACAACCCATTTTCAGCTATGTCCCTATTTTTGTAGCATGACGCACTAGTTCGCATTAGGCCTGACACTAAAAAATTTAACCATTGCGCCATATTGCAATTGAACATTTCCTCAACACCAACTCACTTCGTAAGTTTCGCAAAAGGTATCGGTACGGAAATAATGTAAAAGTGCCCTTAAACCCTTCTTTGATGTCAAGGGTGGAAATGGTCCATCAGTTAAGACTTGTAGAGAGAATCAGAACTTAAAATTCCCAGACAAAGCGACCACTTCAGGTCAAACACACACCGTTCGCACCCTTCTAAACGACCACAGGGTGCAGAATTCAGTGGATGAGCCCTTTGATTCGTCTGTCCGTATACAACGTCTGCAGCAATGACGTTCCACAATCCGCATCAACGGTCCGCATTCTCAAGGCAGATCTTCATCCACGACTGTACCATTTTCCCGTTCGCGAAGCTATCAGAGGATCGCAATATGTTCATGGTTACTCGATCGTCTTGAGAAGCGTGAACATTTCCTGTACTACATTGGTTCCTTGGCAAAGCCCTTATTCACCTTTCAGGTTATATCAACTCCACAAATACCTATTTGGGAAACATCACCCCCCCCCCTAACTGTCTCCAGAAACAGCTCCATACTGTAAGGTGTACAGTGTGTGTGTGTGGCTTTGAGTACTCATGGTTGAGTGGGTCCTTGTATTAGGCCACCATTGGACACTACGAACGACGCGTTAAAATGTGTCGAGTCCAAAAGAGGACATAAAAATGTAGGCCATTGGTTCGCAGAATTCCAGAATTTTAAAAAATGTTTCTAACTCTGTAGGAGAAAAGAAATATTGTTTAAAGATTGAAGGGATGAAAAGATTAGATTTTCTAAATAAAAGGAAAGAAAAAACAAACCAATCCTTAATTTCATGACTTCCTTCACATGGTCTTTTAAATGAGTGCATTTTGCATTTGACGGGATTTTCATAAAACGCCATTTTCGTTTTCAAAAATAGATTTTTTCTTTGTGAATTTTATGTCAAACGAATTCTTTTTTGAGTGAATTATGTCTGTTCTAAATAACAACAGTCTAGAGCAAATTTTGTGCGAAATATTCAGAAAAAAGTTGTACCGTTTTGGGTTGTTTTTTAAAAATCCTATACATGCTTTTATTTAGGGCTATGAAAAACACAACTCTGTAAAAGAAATGGAAATGAGTACAGTCTCTTTAAATACATACTCCTACAAACATTATAATACCCACTGTCTCTCTCTATCTCTCTGTATTTGTCTCTCTATCTCTGTCTCTCTGCCTCTCTGTCTAACTCTCTTTCTCTCTCTCTCTCTCTCTCTCTCTCTCTCTCTCTCTCT